TGACCTTCCAAAGTTGAATTTCCAGATCTTTCTGAAAATTCAACTTTACATTTAAAGCAAATTGGGTTATTTGGTTTTTTACGGTAAAAAAAAAAATGCTGCCACAAAGGTGATGGCTTGTTTGATAAAATTATATCTGTTTCTTGTATTGAGGGTGATGCGGCATTGGTTTCTAATATTGAAGTATTTGGTTCTGATATTGACGTTGGTGAACTGGTATTTATCTCTAACGTTGAAGGTGGTGAACTAGTATTTATTTCTAATGGTGAAGATAGTGGTTCACTGTATAGAGTATAATCATCATAACCATAATCATCATTATAATATTCATAACCTTCATAACCTTCATAATCATAATCAGAATTTTGTTCAGAATTCATATTTAATGATATGGTATTAAGTTGTTCTCAATTTGACCTTTATAATGTATATATACGTGTGAGACCTCTCTAAGTGCACTCTTATTGAGTACACAATTTCTTTAAACACGCTTTAAATTCTGGACTAAACATATTCTTGACCTTATAGATGCACAGCTTATTGTTCTCTAAATGCATATATGATCTTTACATTGTGCATTTAGAGAGGTCTAACCATATATATCAATATAAATTATAATTGAAAAACAATTGTGCTATATGCCGTAAGAATCGATTTATAATCACAATGAATATCGGGTACATACTGGGAGACAAGTTTCCTGTTATATACCCGATAGTCTGCTAAATATCAGCAGCATATTGGCAGCATATTGGTAAGATATCGTGAGGTAGATCGATATCGGTAACATAACAGCACAATATTAGGATCTTATATCTTACTCTTAGCACTCTGGGCCTAAAAGATATCGGGATATACCAATATTTTGCTGATATCGATCTACCTCTCGATATCTTACCAATATGCTGCCAATATGCTGCTGATATTCAGCAGGTATTTGGCGGATCTATGGCAGACTATCAGGTACATAACAGGAAACCTGTCTCCCAGTATGCACCCGATATTCA